TTTTGGGAAAATTGAATCTGGATTTGTGATTCAATGTGTAGATGTCTTTCGATTGGGAGGGACATTCTATGTTAAGTAATTCTGTAATTATGATCGCTAAGACATCAGGAAGCTTACCAACTCTGAGGTGGCTGCACCCTAGGATTGGAGAAATTCAGGAATTTGTGAACTTTGTAGAAGTGTGAGGAGGCAATTTGAGACATGAACCTACAGACCTATATAAAATAGTTAACAGTTGGATTAAGCTAAATTCTGACTCTAACTTTAAACTGATTTTTATGAGTGCCACATAAACTTACAGCTGAGGCAAATCCAGTACTGAAGTCAAGGACCATTAATTAAAATTGGTATATTTGAAATGATGAACAAAGTAGATGACTGGATGTGAAAATCCTGGAATCGTTCAAGGAAAGTAAGATGGCACAGTGAGGGAGAACAAGAGAATACTGTGTTTTGATTGGATAACAACAATGTTATTTATTGTGATTACACTGTATTTTAAATATTGACATTGAATATTAATTTTGTCATGTCTTTTCTGATTCACACCATTTTGAAAAATTCAACATGTAGTGCTTTTAATATGCCAGGACAGCTGTTGAGAGAACACTGGATCATCCGCATGTCTTCCTTTCTCTCCTTTTCAAAATAAGGTTAAACAACCCAAGTGTTGTAACAGCATCTGAAGTTCCAGAAGAAATGCAGGATATTGCATTTAATGATGTCCCTCTTCTTGTGATGGAATACTGTACAGGAGGTGACTTGCGTAAGGTAAAGGTTTATGCTGATATTTGAGGAAGTGCCATGTTGAACTTGGAAGATGGTATATTTACTGCTAATGCTACATAACTGTATTGAACACACAGAATGTTGCCAGGTGGGATTGTCACATATGTCAAAAGAAAAATGACCTTTGTGTTTATCTTGTCTGTTGCTACGAAAAGAGATGTGCTGTCAAACCTTTTCTGTACTCATTATAAGAAAATTGCAAGAATACCAAATTTACAACAGAACACCAATTTATACTGCATATTAGGAGTGTTTGTTTGGTTGGCGTGTGGACTCTGGTCAAGGAGAATGCACCAGGGAACTGTTATCCCAAGCATTTGTTCATTTGGGAAAACTGAGTTTTTAAAATTTGTACTCTGTTCTGCATTACAGTATTTTATTTGAGGATCCCTAAAGACAGTTTTTATTTTGTATTTAGGTTATTTTATTTTTTGCATCTGCAAGTTTGTATTTTCCATTTTATCTGAATTTTTTTTAGGTTATTTTTAAAAATTTTTATTGTCTTACAATTTAAAATCAATTTTAAAAATATTATTACGGGATAAATGTGCAACAGATTTTGTTTCTTTATAATGCCTTTTCCTATTAGTTACTTGCTGTTTGTGTGTTTTGTTTCAAGGTGTTAAATAAGCCTGAAAATTGCTGTGGACTTAAAGAGAGTCAAGTGCTTAGTATCTTACAGGATGTCGGTATGTAAATTTTAACACGTTTGCTATTGTTAACATTCTTGACAGTAACATGCATCATGCATTTTTTTGTCACATTTCTTGGCATGCTTTCTCTCCCTGAGCTTGCAAATAAATCTAATATTAAATAAACCTATTGTTAATAAAATTGTGTGTTATATTAAAGTTCCTTTTTATATTTAGCAAACGTTTGTACACAATGAAGGATTTAAAAAAAAATTAATTTAAATATTTTAATAAATTGTACCTATACGTAAACAGTTGCTTGGCAGTACAGAACTTAAAATATTGCTGAAAAGAGAGAATGTTCATCAGGACAAATGCAAGAATATCAAATGTCAACAAACCAAGTAATTTATGCTATAGGGAGAAAAGGATTGTCGTTATCAGGCAATATGTCTCTCTTTTTCAGCAGTATCCTATATCAGTCTTTGTTATATTGTAGCACGTTGATTAACCTGTGCACTGTGATGTATACATAGTCAGCTTATACTTCTGGATGTTGCACTCTGTTAAGGAATTCTCTCTTTGAATTTATTTCTTTAATTAAGTAATGTAAAGAGACAAGACTATTGGGTTTTTTTTTTGAAGAAACACAAGTATTTAAAGACTGTTCAATATGGGCTTATCTGTCAGGAGGTTTTGAGAGATATCTCAAAAACCAAATCAGACTGATGATGACGCTTCTACAGTTTGGTTAATAACTAGTTGATCCAAGTTAGTGCTATTTATTGCCTCATGCCTCGTTTACTGATCTGCTGAGGATGTTTGTAGATTCAAGTATGGATGTTGTTTGCAGTATTAAATTTGAATGATCTTGAAAGTTACCACATAGCCTGCAATTACACAACACCTGTTGTTAGTCACTAATAGCCCCCATTTGAGTCACCGGACTCAAAACGTTAACTCTGTTTTTTTCCTTCACAGATGCTGCCAGACCTGCTGAGCTTTTCCAGCAACTTTATTTTTGTTCTAATCTTTTTTTGGGTTTTGTTTTCTAACTCATTTTATTTTTGTAAAACTTCTAATTTCTCAATTTTGTATAACTTCTGTATTAATTTTATAAATATCCTTGCCTTTTATTTCTCTGGTAATCCTTTTTGGTACTTTTCCATTCTTTCATAACTTCTGATGTATGTTCTCATTTCTTTTTAATGTTGCATGTCTTTGCTCAGTCTGTTCTCTCCTCCTTTTTCAGTGTTTTAATCAAACATCATTTACTGACTTCTGTCGTACATTGTTCTCCTTTACACCGAATTTTATGTAGTGTTTTTATTCAGTTCTTCAAAGCTGTTTCCTTAACTTCCAATGACTAATAATAGGTGCCTTCAAAATGCAAACTTTCATTTCATATTTGGAATGACTCTGCTTTTGTTAATCATTTGCATCTGCTATAAATCAGGTTCTGGAATCCAGTATTTACATGAAAATAGAATTATCCATAGAGATCTGAAACCTGAGAACATTGTATTGCAAGAAACCAATGGCAAGGTAAGAGCATTTTGAAAAAAATTACAATGTCACAGTTTGAGATTTATCACTTCATAGCTTTGTAAAATTTAGAAATTAATCGTAGACATTCAATCCTTCAAACCTCCAACATTTAGTAAGATTCTGGCTGGTTTGTTCTGAATTCCACCTTTCCATCTACCCCGAATATGTTAGGTTCCAGTCAGTTATTGTACCTCTGCTCAAACAAAAAAAATCAGTGAGCTATCTCCGCCATCTTCTGAGGAAGACAAATCACACAGCCTCTTAGAAAGGGAAAAGAAGTGTTTCCTTAATCTCTCTTTCCTAAATTTTTAAGATCGCATTCTCTAGTTCTAGACTTATCAACAAGACGAAACCTCCTTTCTATGTCCATCTTGTCAAGACCATTCTGGACCTTATACAGGTCAATCAAATTACCCCTCACTCTTCTAAACTCCAGTGGAAATTAGTTCAACCTGTCCAATTTTTCCTCCCAAGACCACCCATTTACTCCAGATACCAATCTAGTGATGCTGTTCTGAACTACCTCCAAAGCATTTGCATCTTGCCATAAATAAAGAGACAAAAACTGCACATAGTATTCACAATGTGGTCTCATAAATGCCCTGCATAACTAAATCATAAGATCCTTACTTATATAATGAAAGCGAAGTGCTAGAGAAACTCAGTATGTTTGACAACATTTGTGAAGAGAGAAAAAGAGTTAAAGTTTGAAGTCAAATATTACTTCTGTTTGGCATTGGAAACAATGAATGGAATCTTACCAGGCTCTGAGTGGCGTGGGCTATGGTAAAATGAGTCGTAGAATTGGGTGAGGTGTTCAGCAAGGCCAATCTTGAATTCGAGGTAATTTAGTCACTTCTTGTTTGCTTTTCTTAATTGACATGGCAAGATTCTTGTTAATCAGCAAAATGTTTCTAATTGACATTTTTCAATACTTGTTAACAGCTGAACTCATCACAGATTGTGATCTTGCCAAACTCCCCATACAAACTAGCCATCAGGAAAACTTGACCTGGAAACTGAGTGCGTTCTTGTTCAATTCACCACTTGCTCCAAAAGACCTCCAACATGCCCACAAACTGCAGAGTAGGCCATGATGCAGCAGCGTCATCTGCACGTACCTTTGGATGTTGGCACTCTACTTTGGGGGAGTTATTGCCACCATCCTGGCACCTCCAATGTACTGGCAGTGCACTGCAAGAGCAGACTAGCCTAACAGAGCATCTGGCAACCAGCAGGGTATAGCTGGTACAGGTACCACATGGGAAGGAACTCGCTACATGGCTTGGACCGGGGTGTCTTATCAGGGCTGCACCCTTGCTGTCTGTGTTCATTCACCTAGTGCCTATCGTCGTGCCTTCAGCTTGCATTACTTGCCTTGACCTGCAGCGCTTTGTGCTCAGTCACACAATCAGACGGGTGGCAGTGCAATGCAGCAGTCCTCAGTCAAGGGTGTGTGCATCTTTCTTTACATCAGTATGGAATATCAGTCCACTGCCTGTACCATCTCGCCTCGGCATTAGCGCCAAATATATGGTACTTGCAGCAAGCAGTGAAACATGTCTGTAAGTCTTGAAGGAGTAGTCTGCCTTGCACAGCAGCAAACCTGAAAATCGACATTGGCACGCTAATCATCATATGCAGACTTTTGAGACAGCATTGCCAAATAATGCTGCAGACCACTACAACGTGTCAATAGGTAAAACAGATACAAGATAACAACCACGTGAACAGTGAAACACAAGGGTTTCTGAAATGTTATAGTCATGGAACTAACATTATGAAAACCAAACTTTCAACATGACTTTGGAGGGGAAAAGAAATCTGTGTACATTGTATGCTAAACAAAATCTATTTGCATCACAGCATATGCTGCACAAACTATCACAAAATCATCATAGAATCCCTACAGTGTGGAAACAGGCCCTTTGGTCCAACAAGTCCACATTGAACCTCAGAACATCCCGCCCAGACCTATCCCCCTATACACCCACCTAATGTACACATCCCTGAACGCTATGGGCAATTTAGCATGGCCAATCCACCTGGTTTGCACACCTTTGGACTATGGTGGGAAACTGGGACACCCGGAGGAAACCCATGCAGACACTGGGAGAATGTGCAAACTCCACACAGACAGTTGCCCGAGGGTGGAATCAAACCCAGGTCCCTGGAACGTGAGGCAGCAGTGCTAAACACTGTGCCACCGTACCGTCCCTATCTCATTGAGTTTCCCAGCTATCGCCAATAAATGTGATTTGGAGTTATCACCTGGCCTCTATTCTGCTGCATCACACAGAGGTTCCCTGCTCGCAGATAATGAGTGGGCGGGACCCCTTCCATGCTGGAGTCCATTGGCCCGGAGGTTTTGTCGGGCAAACCTAGGGAGCATTTGTGTTTTGATAGGCCAGACAGGTCAAGTGTTGTCTTGCTGGAGGCAAGTTGACTCTCTTTGGCTGAACTTTCAAGACTCGGAGGGGGACAGGCAGATTTAGCCACCTTGGCAATCTCCTATGTGGAGACTGGAAAGGGACTTGCGTGTGGCTGCTCCTCCTGCTGGGTGCTTCATTGCACTGACCTGCCTCTTTGTAAGGAGGACCACAGCCAGGCACCCTGACCCCCCTCTAGCCCTGAGGACTAATGCTTGAGGCAATGGACTGCAAATGTTGTCCATGTTCCATGGCCACTGCGGATGACTAGGCCTGTCCGCTATGGCAGCTGAAAACTTGTCCGTGATTGTTGGAATGACTGCATGGCGAGTCTGGACGATAATGAGTAGTGCGTCACTCTACTGGCTGTGATGCTCCAAATTCTCTGCTATGAGGAGTGGTGCCTCCTGTATGCTGCCTCCTGCGCATTTGGATGCAGTCACTCCTCGCTGGGTTCACAGTGTCATTTCCTGCCAGCAGATTAGCAGATGCCTGGTCTTTGACATTGCTCCAACTGAAAGTGGCCCAAGGCATCTGTGGAGCTGTTGGTGTACACAAGTTACTGTGCACCCTTGAATAGCCCACTGAGATGTCCTCATCTGTGTTACTGGGTTGGGTCCAGGAAGCAATGAGGCTCATCACTCCAATACTTCCCACATTGTCATCTGGGGAGATCGAGGAGTGTCTCATCTGCAGGAGAGGGGCTGGCCCTAGGGTGGGTGAGTGTGCCTGTAAGGCAGAAGAGGCAGAGGGCTTTGCAGCCACTGGTTGGTTTTTAGTGGTGTTAATGGCTAACATATGGTTAACGTTATGTTTTACATACTCATGCCAGGACATGGATGTCTTTGCGTTCCTGCAGAAGTGGTCCATGTCCTCTGCTGCTAGGGCAAATAATCTTTACGTGGAGGGCATAGGGATGTGGATATCCAGTGCTCCACCACCTGTCCTGTGTCATTTTGCCCTGTTATGCGATGCCTTGTCCTGAAATGACAAAGGTGCAGAATCAGTAAGACACAAATGGATGGCACAGCTGTTAGCACTGGTGCATATGTGATAAACATGTTGAAGTGTTCTGAGAGAATGAGGAAACAGCGTGCAGGGCATGCGAGTTTAGTGATGTGCAAGAAAGCAGCAATGAGATCAACTGAGGGAAGGTGTTGCAAGCAACAAATGACTTTCAAAACAACTGCTTTGCTGGGAGGTGGGTGCAGTGGCACAGCTAAGTGTGAGGTAGCAGGGAGGGGAGAAGATTATTGATCTTCCTGCACTGCTATCTAGTCTTCCTGATTTTGAGCTTGATACTAGCCTGAGTGGCGATCTCTGACCATGTTGGAATAGCATGTGCTGTGGCCGCCTCTGTCGAACTCCTCTTCGCTGCCGTGTTCACAAGGACCCTCGGGTCCCTCTCAGAAGTAAGGTGCTAGCCCCCTCTTCTGCATCCGCTCCTCAATCCCTCCACAACTGAGCAGCCCAACGTCCAGCTGGCAGAGCTCCTGCAGATGCGCAACAGGCTTTGGAAGATGGTGTGGCCACAAGGAATGTTGGTCTTGGGGAAGATTTTGTTGTGCAGCTAGTTGCTGTAGGAACAGTGCATCGTAAGACGGGCAGGAAATCGGACATAATTTTGCCATGAGGGCTCATTGGCAATTAATGCACCAAGCCTGGTAAGATGGCAAGAAACCCCAAGGTTGAGAATCGCTCCACAGAACTCAACACGACTCCCATTTTGCCAAAAAAATCATAAGATTCAATCAATTTATTGTTTGTCTCTCCTCAGATCTGCTGAGATTTTCCAGCACTTTGTTTTTATTTCAGATCTCCAGCATTCATTCTAGTTTGCTTTAAATTTATTACTTTTATGTTCACTTCCTCTCATAATAAAGGATAGCTTTCTACTAGAGACAGTAGGAACTGTCGATGCTGGAGTCTGAGATAACAAGGTGTGGAGTTGGATGAACACAGCAGGCCAGGCAGCATCAGAGGAGCAGGAAAGCTGACATTTTGGGTCTGGATCCTTCTATTAGCTGCCTTAATCACCTGTTGAACCTGCTTACTAATGTGTTGTGACTCCTGCATGAGAACACTTGGATCCCTCTGTTCATCAGAACTGATCTCCCTTGAAATAATACTCCACCTGCTTCGTTCTTCCTGCAAGCGAGCAATTATGCTTGTTGAAAACAAGTTTTCCTATGGTATAGTCCATCATACCAGATTTTTGCGCTCCCAATTTGACAAACTATGTTGGTCTGCATCCATGTGATGTCATCTTTACAGCATTTTACCATGTCTTAATTTCTGACTTCAACAGGCCCCCTTTGTCTACAGTGCGGGTGACTCCTTTTAAAGAATTCCAATAAATTTGTTAAACATTATTTCCTTTTCACAAAACTATGTTGACTGTGTTCCCAATCACTTAACTTCCTTAATAATCAATTTGAATACCTTTCCCATGTCAGGGTTGCGTATGAGGAGCAGACCAAGTGAAGATGAGGCTGCAATCAGATCAGTCATGATCTCATTGAATGATGAAGCAGGTTTGAAGGACCAAATGGCTTACTCCTGCTCCCAAGTCCTATGTTCCAGCCTTTCTTTCCCTTTGAACTAATTGTATGTAATTTCCATTCTCAAATACTGACCTCCACCTTGCAAATCTGCCATAACTTGTGCTGTTCTTGAAAATTGTTTACTTCTCAAATACCGAAAACCATTTGCTTCCTCTCAAGTCTTTGAGCAACTCCCAATTGTATGAACACTTCTCTCAAATCCATGTTATCACCTCATCAGCTTTCTGTCTCTAGTCAAAGTTACACGGTGTTCTATCCCTTCTGCTGCACCCATTATCACAGTTAATTATACCATCGTCCTCCAGTGCCCCTGTTCCGTTATCCAGCAGAGTGGCACTGGCCTTGCTCTTGCTCGACAATTATTGTCATAGAATCTCCTGCGGTGGCCTCTCAATTAGTTGCGATCAGTTTTCTGAGCTGCAGGAATATATGAAATTTATTCTCCATTTCTAGTTCACTCCATGATGAAGCATGACCCCTGTAGCTTAGAGCATGTTGCTTCCAATGAAGTCTGCCCCGTGGTATTCAGTATTGCTGATCATTGAAAAGATGCTGCTGCTTAGCATTTTCCCTCATTGTGATATCATTTCATACACAAATTACATGTGTCAGCTGCATGGGGCCAGTTTATGTTTATTATAAACAAGTATTAAGAAATGCTGATTTTATTTGTTCACGTGAATTTACAGCATTCTGTTTCACTGAATACATATATAAACAGATTCAGTTGAACCTGTTTGGTATCCCCATAAATGATTAGACATGAATTGGCCAGAGTTGCTCAGTTTCAAATTAGTCAGAAAAATCCTCACTGCCTGCCTTTTTTTATTTCAAAATTGAAGCTAATTGGTTGTATTTTATGTACATGAATACCACAGCAAGGGAAATCAAAGTTAAAGCAATTGGATAAAATAATAAGCCTGGAAGATTAAACTGAGTCTGATGATGATAGCAGAGCAGTTATGGGCAAAATGTTACATTTGAATAGACACTACCTCCAAGTGGAACAATTTCATACTACAAAGTGTTTCAGGATTGAAAGTGGAACCATTTTAAGGGTGTATACAGAAGAACGAGCTGAAGATGGTAGATATTGCAAGCACGTTCCATTTACTTGTGTCATCAGATTGACTGGGATAGCGTTAAGTCACTTGATGACATCTCCATTAGAAGCAAGAAATTAGGTTGGCATAGTGGCAACTACTTCTAAAACAGTGTATGTGTTTGTAGACATATCAGCCCTCTACTTTTTGTATTATACTGTAACAAAGATATTGCAATAGGATAAAGTGAAATTGGTTAATAATTATTCAGTCATTTTCATGATTTAGCACTATTAGAGTCATCCTGCTATAGCTTGGAAAAAACCCTTTTGTCCAACTTGTCCATGTCAACCAGTTACCTTAATATAATCCCATTTAGAATCATATAAATCCCTTCAGCGTGGAAGCAAGCCATTCAGCTCATTGAATCCACATTGAGCCTTGAAAGGGTATCCCACCCAGACCCACCCCTGTAACATCCCAATTTGCCAGCCTTTAGCCTATTTTCTTTTAAAACCCTTCCTATTGATGTACCCATCCAAATGCCTTTTAAATGTTGTACTTGTACCAGCCTCCTCTGGCATCTCATTCCATACATGTACCACCCTCTGCGTAAAAAGACTGCCCTTTTGGTCCCTCCTATATCTTTCCCCTCTCACCTTAAACCTATGTCCGCTCGTTTTGGACTCCCCTACCCGAGGAAAAAGACCTTAGCTGTTCACAGTATCCATGCCCCTCATGATCTTATAAACCTTTATAAGGTCATCCCTCAATCTCCCACACTCCAGGAAAAATAGCCCCAGTCTACTGAGTCTCTCCCTATAGCTCAAGACCTCCAACCCTGGCAAAATCCTTGTAAACCTTTTCTACACTCTTTTTCAATTTTCACAACATCTTTCCTATAGCAAGGAGTCTAGAATTTAATGCAGTATTCCGAAAGTGGCTGAACCAATGTCCTGTACAGCCACAGCCCGTGACATCCCAACCCTCATACTAATGCACTGAGCAATAAAGGCAAGTGTGCCAAATGCCTTTTTTCACTGCCCTGTATACTGCGACTCCACTTTCAAGGAACTATGCATCTGCACCCCTAGATCTCTTTGTTCAACAACACTCCCCGGACCCTACCGTTAACTGTGTAAGTCCTGCCCTGGTTTGCCTTACCAAAATGCAATACTTCACATTTATCTAAATTAAATGTCGTGTGTCATTTTTCGGCCCATCTGATCAAGATCCCATTGTATTCTGAGAACTTTCTTCACTGACAACCACACCATCAATATTGTCATCTGCAAACTTTCAAACCATTCCTCCTGTATGACATCCAAATCGTTTATATAAATAACAAAAGCAGTGGACCCAGCACTGATCCTTGCATCATACTGCTGGTCACAGGCCTCCAGTTGGAAAAGCAACTCTCCACTACCACCTTCCATCTCATACTTTCAAGCCAATTTTGTATCCAAATGGCTGGCTGTCCCTGGAGTCCACATGATCTAACCATGCGGAACCTCGTTGAATACCTTGCTGAAGTCCATGTACACACTGTCCACCATTCACCCTTCATCAATCCTTTATGTCATTTCTTCAAAAAACTCAATCAAGATAGTGAAACATTATTTTCCTGCACAAAGCTATGTTGACAATCTCTAATCAGTCCTTGGCTTTCCAAATATGTGTAAATCCTGTCCCTCAGAATCCCCTCCAACAACTTACCCACCACTGACGTCGGGCTCACAGGTCCATAATTCCCTGGCTTTTTCTTACAACCTTTCTTAAATAATGGCATGACATTAGCCTACCTCCAGTATTCCAGCACCTCACCTGTGGCTATCGATGATACAAATATATCAGCAAGGGGCCCAGCAATCGCTTTCCATGCTTCCCACAAAGGTTTAAGATGGGGGAGGCAATCACTAGACTGTTAATCCAGAGACTCAGATACTGTTCTAGGGACCCAGGTTTGAGTCCTGCCATGGCAGATGGTGGAATTTGAATTCACTAAATATCTGGAATTAAGAATCTAATGATGACCGTGAATCTATTGTCAGTTGTCGGAAAAACCCATCTGGTTCACTAACGTCCTTTAGGGAAGGAAGCTGTCATCTTTACCTGGTCTGGCCCACGGCAATGTGGTTGACTCTTAACTGCCCTCTGGGCAATTAGGGATAGGCAATAAGTGCTGCCTAGCCAGCGATGCCGTCATTCCATGAATTAAAAGAAGAGAAAAAACCTGATCAAGTCCCAGGGATGTATCCACCTGTATGCATTTTAAGATGTCCAGCAGCATCACCTCTGTAATATGGACACTTTTCAAGATATCATTATTTACTTCTGCAAGTTCTCCACCTTCCATATCTTTCTCCATAGTAAATACTGACATGAAATACTCATTTAGTATCTCGCCCATCTCCTGTGGTTCCACACTATTGTTGAGAAGCAGCAAGTTCATGAAAAACGTGAATGAGATGGCTGGTTGCATAATTCCTCAGCTTTTGCTGAAAGGACATCCTGAATTATTTATTGGCAAAGGGAGTGAATAAATCTTGCTGTGTTCTTTACAGTTGATACACAAAATAATTGACTTGGGCTATGCAAAGGACCTGGACCAAGGAAGCCTTTGCACCTCTTTTGTCGGCACACTGCAATACCTGGTAAGTTTCAAAGTTTTGTATTTTAGAAGTGTACATTTTATTGTCATCAGTTGTTCCCATTAGTTGTTCATTCAAGGATCAGGGCATACTAATTTAAGATTTTGGGCAATAGATGAAAAGGAGATATGGGGAAGAACATTTTACACAGCAAGTGATAATGAGCTAGAACTCGCTGATCATGAGGGTAATAAAAGTGGAGATGATCTGCTTTCTCAAAAGTAAATTTGATGGCACTTTATGAAAATAAATTGGCAGAGCTGTGGGGGATAGAGCAGAAAATGGAACTGATGAGATTGATCTGCTGAACATTGTCATCAACTTGATTGTCCAAATTGTGTTCCTTGTCGTAATAACTCTGTAATAATGATGGAGTAATCGATGCACCATAAGACCGTCCAGCTTTTTAAACATAAATTAGCCTTTTTTCATATTCAGGGAATTTGGGATTTATTGCCCATCCCGAGTTTACCTTAAGAAGGTGGTGGTGAGATGCCTTCTTGAATGCTACTGTCCATTTGATATATGTATATCCACAGTGCTGTTAGTGAAGTATTTCAAGGTGACAATGAAGGAATCATCATATATTTCCAAATCGGAATGGTGAGTGGCTTGTTGGGAAATTTGCAGCTTGTCATGTTCTCATGTATTTGCTGCCCTAGTCCTTCCAGGTGGTGGTGTAATTGGGTTTAGGTGCTGTCTTAGGAATCTTAATGAATTTCTGCAGTGCATCTTGGAAGTGTTACACACTGCTTCTATTGTGCATCAGTGATGAAAAGAGTAAACATTTGTGGATATGGTATGAATCAAGCGGATTGCTTTGTCCTGGGGGTCAAGCTTTGAGTGCTGTTGAGATGATGCTTAAGTTGGCAAATGCAGAATATTCCATCACACTTGTGCCTTGTGCACAGTGCACAGGCTTTGGGAAATTAGTGGGTTTAGTTACTCATTGCAGCATTCTTGGTCTATGACGTGTTTTTTTTAGCCATGTTATTCATGGCAAGCCCAGTTTAATTTCTGCTAAATGGTAGTCCCCAGGATTTTGGTAAAGATCATGCTTCAAGCATTGATAATAAAAATGTTATGTCTGCTAATATTTCCTATTAACTTTTCACTTTACAAGTTTCTTTATTCCTGCTTGACTACACAACTCACCAATGTAAATTTTGATTACATCCTCCCTTTGGAGGACGTGCTGCAGCACCATCATAGGCAGGAGGCCATGTAAACATGATATGTTCACACAGGCATTTAAGATATTTAAGGCATTTATCTTTTTAAAAAAAAAATGTAAATAGGGAAATAAATAGATACATGGGTGGAATGTCTGACATAGAACATAGAACATAGAACATAGAACAGTACAGCACAGCACAGGCCCTTCGGCCTACGATGTTGTGCCGAACTTTTACCTTAATCCTGAGGTCTATCTAACCTCCACCCCTACCTTATTCTATCATCCATATGCCTATCTAATAGCCGCTTAAATGCCCCTGATGAGGCCAACTCCACTTCCCTCCTCCGGCAATGCATTCCACGCCCCTACCACTCTCTGAGTAAAGAACCTACCTCTGACGTCTCCCCTATATCTACCTCCACTCACTTCAAAATTAATGCCCCCTTGTAATAGCTACCTCCACCCTAGGAAAAAGTCTCTGGCTGTCTACTCTATCTGTACCTCCTGATCATTTTGTACACCTCTATCAAGTCACCTCTCATCCTTCGTCGTTCTAAAGAGAAAAGCCCTAGCTCTCTCAACCTTTCCTTGTTAAGACCTTCCCTCCATTCCAGGCAACATCCTGGTAAATCTCCTCTGCACCTTTTCCGACACTTCCACATCTTCCCAGTAATGAGGCGACCAGAACTGGACACAATACTCCAGATGTGGCCGAACCAGGGTTTTGTATAGCTGGAGCATAACTTCACGGCTCTTGAACTCAATCCCTCTATTAATGAAAGCTAACACACCATACGCCTTCTTAACAACTCTATCCACCTGGGTGGCAGCTTTCAGGGAACTGTGGACATGAACCCCAAGATCCCTCTGCTCCTCCACACTGCCAAGAATCTTTCCGTTACCCCTGTATTCTGCTTTCAAGTTTGTCCTTCCAAAATGAATCACCTCAGACTTCTCAGAGTTGAACTCCATCTGCCACTTCTCAGCCCAGCCCTGCATCCTATCAATGTCCCTTTGTAACCTCGAACAGCCCTCCACACTATCCACAACTCAACCCACCTTCATATCGTCCGGCAACTTACTAATCCACCCTAAAATGGTCGTGACACAATATGATAAGTTTATTCTCCCGCAATATGTTGTTTTGCATTTAGTTGTGTTTAAACATAATTGAGAAATCTAATAATTTATTGAAATTTTGAATGACGTTTTGTGTTTACAGCTAACATAGCTAATCATTGAAAAAGGTAAAATCACTTTTGCGTTCTTCAGTTCTTAAATGAAATGATCCTAATGGACTTGGTACTTCAAAAGTAATTGATCTTGTTCTAGGCACCAGAACTATTTGAGTCACAGCCTTACACAGTCACTGTCGACTACTGGAGCTTTGGAACATTAGTGTTTGAGTGCATCTCTGGTTTTCGACCATTTTTACACAATATGCAACCTTTCCAATGGTAAGCATACCTACTTTACATTCTGTTATTAAATAATGGGTACAATTTGATTTTTTTTTGGAAGTGAATTTAATATCTGAGAGATCTGTAATGCTGGAAGAACTACAGACATGAGGAAGAGTGAAGCCATAAGAGGAGGAACTTCAGAACACAAAAATTACAATTTTAAGATTGCATCTTAGATCTTTTTTGGCTCCATATCTATCAGTGAAAAAACTGCTGGGTGAATAAGACTTGTGTGGCTTTGAATATAGTTTTAGATGAGTTCAAGCCCCAAAAGGTGGAAGATACCAGACCCAAAGTGTTCATGTTATGAAGATGGATCATTTCAGTTCTGTAGCAGGTATGGAAAGCTAATGAGAGATGCTCAAGTGTTAATTTGGTTGGTGATACATTTCAGGACATTGAAGATGAGGTACAATATATATTGCAAATGTTTGCAGGGATGGTGGGGTCAAGAGTCTTTCCTGGTTTGGTTTACTGTTCCTTGTCAGTCGAATCTGACTTGGAAATATATCACTGTTCTTTCATTGCTGCTGGGTCAAAATTCTGGAGCTCCCCAGTTAACTGTACTGTCAGTGTCCCAACACATCAATTGCAGTGGTTTGAGAACGCAGCTAACCACCACCTTCTCGAGGGTGGTTGAAAATTGGTAATGAGTTCTGGCCTTGCCAGTGATACTCACAGTTCCTGAACAAATAAACCAAATTTTAAATGATGAGCACTCTGCCTAGAAATCACATTTACTTTTTGAAAGTGAGAAATGTACAGTATTCACCTTCCATGTAAGGCTATGTTAAGTTGATAAGAACTACATAAAATATGCCACAAGACTGCTGCTGAAGCTCTTTAATGATGAAATAGTCATGTCACAGGCTGTTGGGTTTTCATATGACGCCCTCAAATCCTTTGTAAGGGAGAAAATAACGGTATGACTTCTTTTTTTCCTAGGCATGGCAAAGTTAAAATCAAAGGCCAAAATGATATTATGGCTGTTGAAGAGATGAATGGTGAAGTAAAGTACTCCCAAAACTTACCACAGCCCAATGGTCTTAGCAGGTGAGAATACTTTTTTCAGACTTAATATGTTTTGACTAAATACAAAACAATGGGATGATGGTGGGATTGTGATAATGTAGCTGGACAAGTAATCTGGGGATCCAGGCAAATGCTGTCAAGAACATGTATTCAAAATCCCATTATGACTGCTTCTGAAATTTCAATTCACTTCATATATCTGGAATTGAGGGTTTATGCGCATTAATAGTGACCGTGAAATTATCATTTACAGTTCGTGAAAATCCATCTAGTTCATTTAATTCCTTTTCTTTTTTAAGGAAGGAAATGTGCTATCCTTCTCTCAACTAGCCTACTCTGATTCCATATCTCCATCAATGTCTTAATTGTCCTGTGAGACAATTTAGCAAGCCACTCGGGAATGGACAACAAGTGCTGGTCTTGTCAGCAACTTCTATGTTCCATGAAAGAATGAAGAAAAATTGAAATTTTGACATGTTCTTTTTCTAAAACTTTATTGTAGGAAGATGAGAGAGCAGCCCTATGATCCTCTTGGAGGTGACATCACCTTTTACTTTGTGTTTACTAGAGTTGTTTTCTGAAACGCGTATCTTTTCATGAGCTAGCTGATTTAGAATGATGTGTTGATCTGCTGAATGAACTGTTTTGATTGAAAAAAGATCCCTAGTTTAGCTACTTTTTTGAGAGCTGATGTTCCGTAAACTGACACTAGACCTCCAAAGAATTCTTTGATGTAAGACTGTTGAGGTTCCTTTTACAAAAGAGGTTGAGCAGACATCAGAGCTAAGTACAGGTGTGGCTTCGCAACTTTTTAAAAAGAATAAACAAGACTATAATGATGCAACTAAGGTTGAATTTCAGAGATGTTAAGTAGTCAGCATTGGGCAACTTCATTTTGGATATATGTAAATGGTCTGGATTTTTAGTCTCAGCATAAGGAAGTGAAATTCACAGATGACAGCAAGCTGTAGAGGGGATTTTGAATGTGGATTTTGAACAGTCATGCTCTTGTGAAAAGAGTTCTACTGGTTATGTGTCTAAGCTGACCTGTGGAAAAAGGTGAGCATGAGGAAATGTAAAGCACACTGTGGAAATGTAGTTTGGATGGAACAGAAATTGACAGCAGGGAGATGAAAGAAAGAATCAATTGATTGAAATGTGGTCTAGCCAACTATTTTGCAGTTTTTTAGTTGATTTTTAAATCTCTAGTTTTTCTCTTGCTTCCCTTCTTTGGAATGTGACAACCTTACTGAGATAGAGTTCCTCCTGTAAGCACAATGCATTCCACTTTGCTCAAATTATCATTTTTTTTTCTCTGTCCAACTGGATGATGACTCTACAATCAGTACAGATGAGTTCAAATTTCTAATTATCCAACACAAGTTGAGATGGACTTTCAGCAAGAACAACATGAAAGTGATGAATGAAATTCTTTTTCAATTATTCTGTGCTGTTCAGAGATATTGTTTGTCTTGGTCAGAATGGTAGAGAAATGCTGCAGTAAATTCAAAGTCAGCACCAAACAAAATTGTTGTTTTGGTTTCTAAAATATACATTTGCTGGTCTCTGTGTCAAATGAAGACGTTGGTTGACTTGAATTGTATCTGTCTCTCATTTGGTAATATTATGTACAGTAAGCAAAAAGCTATACCATTTGCCTGGCACCTCTGTGCTTGTATAGCAACTCCTATTTACCTTTTTGAATACGCTTGTGCTAGTGATCAGCAGACTAACTCAGAACATCAATTATATTAGGTTATCCTGTTCTCATTTTTATATATTTATCCTGAGATATTTTGGATTGACAATATGAAACTGTACTTAAGGAATTTTGTATTAAATGTATTATGTAAATTGTTTATTCTTAAATTCTACCATAAGTTAAAAGATAATGCTCATTTCATGTGGGCATTGATGTAACCCAGTCAAACATATAAGTTTGTGGTTCTGATATCTTTTGACAGTAAATAATTTTCAGTTGTGTGTAGACTGACTTGTTATTACTTTATACAAGGAAACCAGTAAAACTTAAGTCAGGTTTGAACTTAAGGTTCCAGGAACAGACACTTGGTAAATTATTGTTTGCCCCCCATTTTAAAATTGATCTGCAAACTTTTGGGCAGCTTAGCCGAAAGAATTGTTAGTTTTTAAAGAATTTTTTCTTATTGTTTCATAACATTGAAACATGGGGCAGGAGAGTGAAAGAAGAGACAGCACTCAACAGATGAGATTAAGCTCGTTAATGCTGAGTTTTGCCAACTTTATTTCTTCTAATTGTTCTCTCATTAAGTATTGGTTTAATAGCTTTCAGAATCAGTTGAAATAAGTGTTACAGCACAGGATTGTTCACGCATTTGCTTATGTTGCAGAATAGACTGGTATCAGGAGTGATGTGCAGTCACATTTGAATCAGGGGTCTTCACTTTCAATTGGAGCTTGAGGAAGGAGAGTTCAAGCAACTGAACTAGAAGTCATCAAAATGAAAATGGTGGACTGTGGAATTACAGCCCCAACCCTCTCTTTCCAAACAAGGCATATATCAGTACTCTAGTATGTTTGCCTTTCCAAGTGCTAACATTGTTAACTCCTGGGCACTTCCTAAAACAACAAATTTCCTTGTTTATCAACTTAAACTTATACAAGAATCTAGCGTTAGATAAAATGCCAAAGAAATGGATCAGTAACTGATGTTATAGGTGTATTAATGCTGTTATATGTCAAATTTTTTCAAATTCTTTGTAGCAGACAGTATGTCAGTAACCAGATATCCTGGATCACAACTTTTATTTTATGGCATATTTGGTTGTCTGACAAGGTCGTTATTTAATTGGATAATTCCACTGAATGACACTGAAATAATTACATTTTGTAATTTGTATTTGCCAGTAAAGTGTTGAAAATGTTGCTGATTTTTGATAATTGCATGTTTTTGTGCTGTGTGCGGCAAGTTTAACTTTTGATTTCTAATGTTTTTACGTTCTTTTGTAGCCTCATGGTAAAACCACTGGAGACGTGGCTACAGTTAATGCTGGGTTGGGATCCAAAACTGCGAGGTGGCAAAATAGAACCACAGTCAAATCGACCAGAGTGTTTTTTACTTCTAGATCAAATTTTAAGTCAGAAGGTTAGTGGTAACATCATAATTATATTTTTATTAAGTATTTGGTGTGCAATAAGTATTGCTTTTAGTTTTAACTAAATAACATGAAACATCTCTACTGAAATGTTCAATTCTGACCATGTGACTATCTAGATTATAAATTCAAGGTTCAGATCAAAAGGAATTCCAATATACAGATGTGATTTAGAAGTGCTACACTTTTTGTAATGAATATGCTACAATTACATGAAATAGAAATCTGAATGTTGGGCAAAGTGATATTTTTGTTCAAATTTAAGTATTTTGTTCAAATTTGAGGCAAATGTTTGGGTTGAAAACTTTTCGATTGGAATGCAGGCTGCATATCAAGTCTGGTTCTTGTTAGAAATGGTAGTGTGGGATGTAAAGTATGAGGAATCCATAAGTCAGTACAATGTTTCTGTCTGGTGAATTGGACCTTTCAAAGTCTTGCATTCAATTTGTGCCAGCTTGTGTGATGCTGCAGTTTCAACTCTAGTACTTAAAGGAGCACTCTGAATATTACAGAAGTGAAAATGTTGAAATTGTATTGTTTGGTCAATAAATTAGCTATGCTTTTGGCAAAGAAATTTTAACAAATGAAATGATATTCGCCCCCATCACACACAGTTACAATCAAATGGTGTCAATCTTTTCTTCTGTAGGCTTTACCACAGTCTCGAGCCTTGATGATCTCTCTGCACTTGAGTGTATCTGGAGAGCTTTTGATTCCAGAGCTTGCCTAATACCCGCTGTGTCAGTGGACTGAAGTTTTGAGCAGTACATTTATTCCTGAACTTTGGCATTTCATTGCTTTTTCTCTCTTATGTGGATGTAGGACAAACCTTATTTTCAAAATCACAACAAACAAGATCATTCAACTCATTATGTTTGTTTTGACTGTGTGGATAATGTTTTATAGCTTTCATAGAGACAGGTTTCAAATTTAATCATGGTTTGCCTTTGAGTGCCCTCTAGTGATCAAATTCAATTTACCCATTTACAACTTGGGGGTTACCAGTGGCCAGAAACTGAAATGAACCAGCTATTTAAATTCCGTATCTACAAGAGTAGGATGGAAGTTGGGAATTCTACCATGATAACTCCTCTCCTAACTCCAGAAAGCCTGTCCACCATTTACAAAGCACAAATCGGGAGATTGGAAAACTCCCCACTTGCCTGGATTAATGCAGCTCCAACAACGTATGAGAAGCTTGACACAACTCGGGAGAAAGCAGCCCACTTGATTGGCACCATCTCCACAAATATTCACTACCTCCACCAATGACACTCTAGTAGAAGCAGTGTGTGTGTAATAGCTCTTGCACAACCCACGACATCTACCTCCTAGAAGGGCAAGGGTAGCACTTGCAAGTTTCCCTCTAAGCTCCGCACGTTCCTGATTTGAAACTCTATCACTGCTTCTTAACTTAGTGAGTTAAAATCCTGAAGCTACTTAAGAATAATATTGTGGAAGTAATTGCATAACATTGACTGCAGCGGTTCAAGATGCAGCTCACCACTGTCTTCAAGGACCATTTGGGGATGGACAGTTGATGTTGGCCTAGCCAGTGATGCCACATCTTCATTTTTGAAACGTGTGGTAATGTAGGGCAGAAGACAGAATTTTAAGCTTGTGTTCACAAGTATGCTGTTTTCCCAGTCTGATTTTAAGAGATTACAAGGTGCAGAGTATAGAAACTGATACTTGGGCTCCTAATGCTCATCAACCTTCCAGAATTTTTTGCATCTCAAATTATAATTCTTTTACTGGGTCTATTTGTTGTGGAAAGTTTTCAGTTGTAGGGCACTTGAGATCGATTAGCAATACAATTTTAGGTGAAAGGCAATACTGTATTTTTTTGTAAGATATATGTCTGGTCTGGTCCTTAGCTATCATCTCTATTTCACATGCAACAAAACTAAGCTTAATTGGACCTTTTTGTGATGAAAGACTAGAAAGGCATTGAACTACTTTTTAATTCTTTGCCCTTTGACTAGCTGTGATAGAATTGTGTCCAAACTTAGTATGAAATCTGCCAGGATTCTTGAGGAGCAATATCAATTAACAATTGGGACAGATGTTTCTTTTGCCTTCCAGTCAAGATCCATCCTTGCTTTATGCAAAGCTATAGTACCTACCATCAGTCCAATTTCAGATTGTTCTAAAAAGGTCAGCAGTTGCAGTGGGGTGAGTGGTATGTTTCTACGTGCTAATAATTACTGCAATCTTATTTATATTTTCTAGTTGTTGAGGAACAGGGGGCCATTAGTTTTTGCACCTCCTACTTGGATTTGAATGCATCCTGGATGAGTATGATGCATGTTTTATCCTTCAGTTGGCTGCAAGAGACCTAAATGGTGTTAGCTTAGACAGTGTAATTCCAGTTCGTAGTTTAGGTGAAGCCAGCACAATTATGTCTATTTGTTACAATCTATTTGTTACAATCCTGGTAAAGTGGACAAGTGGGTGAATTTCTACTAAGTGTAGAGCCATCATAATCAATCATTAAGGATCTGACAAGAAGTTTGAAAAGGTAAACTAAGATGGGCTAATTGTCATCTGCACAAAGCATTTATGTTTCAACTCTCAGCATGCAAAAATTATCTCAATCTCTTACAGTACGTACATATATTAAATATGACTTCAGCTCGAATCCACTCTTTTCTGATCAAACCTGATGAAAGCCTCCATTCCCTTCAACTGCGTATTGAAACTGAAACAGCAATATCTCCTGCAAATCAGGAGTTGCTTCTAGAAACTGGAATTTCGTTGGATCCTCGTAAACCAGCCAATCAGTGTGTACTGGATGTGGTATGTATTTTTTTTTTAATGCAGATTTATCAATAGATGCCTACCAGTTTGAATATGTTTGGATGGTATGGTCATAATTATTAACTTGGAAGCCAAAATATTTTACTGAAATAGAAGAAACATAGTTGAATAGAAACGAGTGAATAAATATGAAACTGTTTTTGATTGGAAGTTTGTTATCTGTAAAAATAGTATCCAACTATTGTTTTTGTAGCAAATATTTGATATGTGCTACCTCTTTTTGGGCCCACTTCCTATTAGTGCATGAATAAAAGTTTGAACAAAGAAACTCCAATCTTGTCTGGCCTGAAAAAGGGATAAAGTTACTTTTTCTTAACCTTTATTTGACTTTGCTAATTGAAGCACCCATTTTCCTGACTACATGTTGTCCAAATTAGCGAGTGCATGAAAAGGCATCTGAAGTAGCAAGAAAAAGAAAACATGTAAAATACTGAACAATGCTGAAGTTAGAATGTATTTTCAATGAAACTTAATTTTTGCCCTTAACCGATTTAATCTGTGATTTTTCTTTCCAACCAAAGGCAATGAATAAAAGTGGGGATAAGTTTTGCTGCCCTTGATTTTAAACACGGACTTCACTATGTGAAATTGCATTCTGAAATTGCTTTTTGATCATTTGTAACTTGATGAAAGATTGTGTTCGAGGTCCACGTTATTTGGCATTTTTGGAATGACTGGATGTATGTCAAGAACTGGTAGCATTATGGCAGCTTTGGAATTATGATGTGCTTGAATAAACTTAATAGATTTGCATGAAATTTTCTTTCGTAATGGTTGTGAATCTATTTAACACAAATGAATTAATATCTCAAGAAAAACACAACATAAGTTAGTGAACCTCTTAAAGAAATAAATCAATGCCTAATATTATTGTTTGAGTATTCAATTTTTCATGCTTTTAAACAAATTTATGAGTTCATAAAAATATTTTGTTTTAAAATATAGTTTTCTCATTTTTGCAGAGAGGCTGGGATAGCTACATGGTCTATCTATTTGATAAAAGTAGCACGATCTATGAAGGACCTTTTGTTGCCAGAAAATTACCAGAACATGTCAATTATGTTGGTAAGTGTGCTGCTGTTTGAAAATAATTTTAACAAGATTCTAATGTCTTCAGGTCCAATGATATAATCAAAATAGAATCTATTTTACACTTTACTGATGATTTGAGCTTAGTGGGCAATGTAATTTAGATGTATTTGAGAGTGAAAAAGAGGTACAGTAAAAGAGTCACAATGTATCAGTACCTCTAATGTTAATTATAATTATGTTAATTATAAATGTTAGAAATTTTCTGATTATTTTCAAGTAATTGTATATTCCACATAGCTTTAAGATGTTTTTGTTTCAATTCCATTTGTTTTAGGTATTTGTAATATTACCAATACCTTTCTATTCTTTTCCATTTCAATTCACTTTTGAGATAAATATCTATTCAGCTGTTATGCCGGTTACTACTACTTTGACAAAAAGATGCATAGTTTCCTGAAAAAAAAAAGTTGGAGTCTTTTTACGTTTTCAAGAACAGCACAATTTTTGGTTCTAAAATAGTTAAGGCATTTTAGCTGAAATAATCATTTTTTCTTTCTAGAAAAGGGAAGCTATTTTCCCTTTCTAGAAAAGGTAAGCTATATTTTTTAAAATGCATCTTACTTGTAAATCTATCTATCTTCAATACTGCAGAAGCAGTCTGAACTTTAAATGAAGAGTTAAATCCCAATTTATTAACAATTTAAATATCAATAATGCAGTAGCAACTGTAATGTGTGTGAATTCTATAGTTCTGAGAAATTGAGTAACTGTATAAGTTCAAAAGCAAAGGTTTTATCTAATGGGGAAACATTGGTGTAGAGGACCTTTTGGGTATTTGATAAACTAGTCTGCATACAGGTCCCTTTTTTTATGAGCAACGGACCCCAGAGTCTAAAAACCAGGCGGGAAAACACACCGACGCTTCATCAGAGGCTGCACTGAGGATGTTACCAAGTACGGTAACGAAACGTCTGCGGAACAACAAACCAGCTCGGCGAGCCAACCAACCTAAATCATATATTACTGATAAAAGACTTTTGGATTCGTTTTCATTTTCTGCCATCTCATCTCACTTCCCTCCCTTGCTTTTTTTTTGTGCTGGTTCTTCTCTGTTATCAAAACCTCACCCTTTTTCTGCTTCATCTTACTTTCTATGTCTTCTTCATTAAGTGAATGTTAGGTTTTTTTGTCTGATCTTTCTTCCTTTTAGAAAATGAGGTCAAACAGTCAAGAAAGAATGTAGAAAAGAACAATGGAGTAAAGCGCCCGAGTTATTTTAGACTTCGGTTACAATTTTCAATTTGGCTACAATCACAAACTAAAATGTGAACGGAGTGGGTGTGGAGGGGTGTAACATGCATGAACAAAGTTTTTAAACAAACTCTACCGGCTCCACCGTGAGAGTTCCAACTTGAGGTTGGCAGAATATTAAATATTATGGATAAACTAATTGTAGAATATTAACAAATGGAGAAGATTTGGATTGGAGAACATAAATTTAAGTATTGTTTAAAATTTGCTTTTCAGTTATTTTGAATTATCTTAATTCCAAGAGTATCAAATGTTTGGTATGATCTGGCAAGCGAATAAAAAAAAATTGAATTTCTAAAGGTATGTTCAAATGGTATGATGAATTGAGTTTCTGTGGGCCCAGTCTCATTTTTTTTTGACTTTTAAAGATGTTAAAATTTCAGATTTTTTGCTAAGAGACAAACATGGATTGTATTTTGCAAATAAACATTAAACCACCTGAATGAACGTTTCATTTTTTTAACCTGTGTTTTCGTCCTCTGTCGTCTTACATCAAATTAAAATTTAGAAGTGTTAATTTTTACTGCAATTCATGTTTTGATACTATGTCATTGCAGTGCGGGATGCTAAGATAATGTTGCCCAATGTGCAACTGAGGAAGGTATGGGGTGAAGCAGTGAATTATGTCTGTGGATTGAAGGAGGATTACAGCAGACTTTTCCAGGGACAAAGAGCTGCAATGTAAGTCAATATTGGAGGCAAGATTGAAGATAGTACATGAGAAAATCAACTTGCACGGGTCTGTGTTCTTATTTAGATTTGTATTCTGCTTACTATTTGCTCATTTGGAATCAAAAACTACTCCCATTTTTTTGCACTATTCATTTATTCCCCTTTGTATCTAAAGTTGTTCATTGAGGGCTAGAAATCCCATTTGCCTTGTCAACTTTCCAAATATTTGACAGCTGGTTCAAAACTTGCTCAAATTACCTCAGCTGACTCTTGCAATTAGTCTCTTTCTTTCTTGTTAAACTCACTGATCCATTGAGGAAAACTGGGCCTTCCCATATGCAAGACTTGCAAAGGAAGCCACAGCTATCCCTTCTGCCACTTTCATTTTGAGGACTGGGTTCCAGGACCGGCATTCAGAGATTGAAATAGGAATTCTGCAGCAGAAATTGAAGTATCTGTACAAATGGCCATGAGGCTGACAGTCTCAAGCTGCATTAATGGAATTAAAAATTTTAACTAAAAATTTTTGTGGCAACAACTCACTGATCATCTACTCTGCAAATTCTAAGCTATTGAATAGACGGAGGACCTATCTTGCAAGAGAAGCACTCAAGTCAAAATACAAGGTGAAAACTAGGGCAAATATCAAGTTTATGTTTAAAAATTGTTACAACTCATTCAGACCAAGTCAGCTTTTCTACTTCTGTATTCACAATACTGTGAAATTTAAAACTGTCAATGACATCCTGACCAGACTTTTGAATGACCAATCCCAGACTTTGTGAATAATTCATTAAGATACAAAACTGGTATCTGGAAAAGACTTAACAACTACACAATAACTATAGCAAAGAAAAATTAAAGAAGGTAATTTTATTAATGTCTATGCTTTAAACCCAAAACATTTGTTTTCAACCCCATTCAGACAAAAGACAGACAGACAAACACAGTTAAGGGATAACTAAAAGAAAATAACAAAACGAAGCATTGTTTCACAGGCATAGATGTAGACTCCTTGGTTGCTTTTCTGAAATATTGATCAGGGTCACCTTTTCAGTTCACACAGGTAATGGTCATAATGGTAAAAAGTTGCAGCATGCTGCTATGCAGAGGCACCTGGGTGTCCTTGTGCATGAATCATAGAAGGTAGGTTTGCCGGTACAACAAGTGATTAGGAAGGCAAATGGAATTTTGTCCTTCCTTGCTAAAGGGATTGAGATTAAAAGCAGAGAGGTAATGTTGCAGCTGTACAAGGTGCTGGTGAGGCCACACCTGGAGTACTGTGTGCAGTTTTGGTCTCCTTACTTGAGAACGGATGTACTGGCGCTGGAGGGGCTGCAAAGGAGGTTCACTAGGTTGATTCCGGAGTTGAGGGGGTTGGCTTATGAAGAGAGACTGAGTAGATTGGGATTATATTCATTGGAATTCAGAAGATTGAGGGGGGATCTTATAGAAACATATAAAATTATGAAGGGAATAGATAAGATAGAAGTAGAGAGGATGTTTCCACTGGCAGGTGAAGGTAGGACAAGAGGGCATAGCCTCAAGATTAGAGGGAGCAGATTTAGGACTGAA